AACCAGCATCCCAGAGCCATCTTTGCTGCAAAAAGCAAGCTGTAGAGAGGATAAGCTAGCGGGGTTCATGTCAATGCTCTTGTAGAAAACCTCCCGTTGTAATATTTGATGGAGGAACTAGAAACCTAACCGTTCTCCAGTCTCACAGATCATCCTTGCCTGTGGTCAGATCCAATCATACAGCAACTTGATTCACTTAGGAGCACGCTCTGCCCTCACTGACATCAGCATCAACGGAACTGCACTGGAAAGGAAAAGTATAGGGGTAGATCCCATAGAAAATTCGTGTCTCAAAAAACTCGGTCCTGCAAGAAGATGTGCGCATCTTGGCATGGGTTTCTGCACTGTGGAAATGAACTGGTAGGAAATGTAAAAATAAGGCCACCTAATACACTAGCAGTCAGTATATTTCCCGGGAAAGCACAAGACCCAAATGCAAGCCTATCCTTAAGCAGGGGGTTGTAACCTACCTCTCATGCTTCTCAAAAGAGTGCCCTGATCACCCACCAGTAGATTGGGGCGTAAAAAGTATGTAAAAAGGAATAGAAATGTATGGGACCAGACACTGACAATTGCGGGGAGCTTTATGCCGTACTTTTGGAGAAGGACAGGCCTGCATTGCCACATCTTACCCAGTGGCTCTCCAGGGCAAAATAACTGAGCAGTCCTCATTCATTTTGGGCTGTGCTCCTTCCGCACACAAACCCGCCTCCCCCTGCCCGCTCTTCCTCCCATTGACACCCGAAGGCAGTTCTGCTGTATGTTGCAAGGCAATGCAAAGGACAGTGTCACTTCCCAGCTAATTAGTATTTGTGGTCACAAACTCCTCTACTCGCCTCTCTTAGAGCTCACTTTCCTGCCGCGAATATAAAACACTGCCTCGGCGACACACACCTGCATGGAAATGCATACACATGAACTCCCAATTAAGGGATAACTGCTGCAAAACATAAGTAGCTCTTATGAAACAAAGCAAACAGTGGTCATATTAATAATCAATTAGATGGAGCAGCCACCTGATGCTGCCTATTTGGAGAAGTCCCCAGCTTCCGTGAGCTTTTGCCCGTGCAAGAGCAGCTGAATAAAGTCTGTGTCACAGTCACCTTGACTCGGCAAAACACCGTCTTCTGCCTCTTGACTCAGGGATGCTTTTCCCCTTGCTCTAGTTCCTAATTAAAGCCATGAATGTGGATAAATATGTCCAGTTTTAAACCCAACTGGGTCACCAAAATGTACGTTACACCCTGTTCTGCAATTAAACTACTCTGTGAAACACCTCAATTATAATTAAAGAAGCAATTATCCCTCTGTTAAAGGCACCGCAAATCATACATTTCAATGCAAAAGTTCGCCTGGCAGCTTATGGCATATTATCCAATCTTACATCTCATTGATGTTTTGATCTATAACCTATCGCAATGAGCTGATTTGATGTGACTTGGTGTCTCTAACTGTATTTTATCATGTGCAATACAATGCTGGCATCTTTCAAAGAACAAATTAAATGAGCTAAGGGGTTAATTGCTAATAACTCTGCCATTACTGTTGGAGCGTTGCAGAATGGGATCCTTCCTGCCTTCTCAGGTTAGGTTTGAAAAAATGCACACACAGAAGAGAGTGGAATTGAAATGGATGTTTCTGTTGACACTAGGGAGCTGCAACTGTCTGATTTCCGCTGAGCACCATCAGCTCCCGCCGAGTCTGGCAGGTCAGGCTACTTATCTCACCACCTTATCCTATTTCTCCCCATTGAGGAAAAGCAGAAGGCAGGGAAGCATGGAGCTAGGGCAGGGTGTTGTTTGTTTTTATGTCCATTCCTTTTTTTTTTTTGCCCCCCACAGCAGGAATATGTGAGTTTGCCCCTTCACCCCTCAGCTATGTGTGGAAACCTCAGTGTAACATCGCCTGCGCTGGTCCTTCTGCTGCTTGCCTGGGCCACGCACTGGAAAAGAGAAAACATTTACCCGGGTGTTTCAGAACCTGTAGGTAGGTTCAGCTTGATATTGGCTATAAAACTGGGAGTGGGGAGGCATGCCACGGTGCTGCGGGCCCCGACGCTGGTCAAGGCTGGTGGGCAGGGGTATATGGCTGCAGAGAAGCTGATCTGGTTTTCCCAGAGACCAAGCAAACCCTCGGTTCCTCACTTTGTCCCAAGTGAACAAGCAAGACGCACTTTGATTTGACCTCAGGCCATGAGGCTGGTGTGTGTATTTTAACACACCTTCTTCTATTTGGATCTTGGGCTTTTTTTTTCTAGTGGTTGTGATCTGAGCCTACTCTAATGCTCGTCATGTCCTAGTGGATCTGAGGGACTGGTAAGTGCTGCCTTAAAAGCTTTGCCTGTCCATCTCTGTCTTTGTCCTTCTGGCCCTCTGCAGCAGCTGTATGCTGCTATGTGGTTCAGATCTTCAGTAATAGTAAGATCTGCTCCAGCATTGATCCATAAGAGCTTGACACAGTTAATTGCAATTAAATATGCTGGGAATTATAAGACTAAATTCCCCAGCTACTGAAAAGAGGACAGAATGTATCCCTGAGCATGGTTGTTCCCACCACTTTGAAATACCAGGAAAAAAAGAAAATGAAAGGGGAGAATAAAATGAAAGAGAAAAAGCAAGGGGAAGGTGCTGGGACTCTGGACTCCAGCATTACGTAACACTGAATGTGTATTTTGTACAGTTTCACAGCGTAAGCTTTTCTTCCTCTGTTTTGTTGTTAAATCCAGTGACTACTTCAGAAGCCAGTAAGTGGAAAACAAAACAAAACAAAACACAGTGCCCAGAGTGGGAAGAGTCTGAGGTACATGCTCACCAAAGCATTTGGAAATGCTGTTCAGAGCTGCAGCGTATGCATTATCCTACTCTACTTGGAATCAAAGCAGTCTTTCAACAAGACGGAAAATAGCCTCAGCCTGCTGCCTGCCTTCTCCCAAGTCCTTTCTTACTTAGTTACCTGTACCATCATATCAGAAACTTCTCTGAACAAATAAACGAAGTCTTAAACAAAGAACTCATTCACCTCTAAATTAAAATAATCATGTAATCCTTCAATCCACCAAGTTACCTTTCATCTTTCCATTTTTTTAAATTTATCTTACCAGCTTCAGCGAGTGGCTGTAATAAAGTGTCACGTTAAGGTATTCATATTCATTAGTGTTCAGGTCTTTGTTCTTTTAATAGTGTTGGAAAGAATCTACAAAGAGGCTGTATTAGGCGGCTGTCCAATCTGGGTGTTTGATCTCCTTCTGACTTCAAAAGTCAGAAGAGGAAAAAAAACAACATCGAGAACGGTTCTTTTGAACGTCAGACAGGGAGTATATGATTTCTGAGCCTGCCAAGTGTTAATTGGTGTCTGCCCCGACCACAGTACAAATAAGATTGAGAGCCAGTTAATGTACAGTCATGAATCTCGGCTATTGACAGAGTGAGTCAGGATACTAGAAGGCAGGAAAAAGTGCAATTATTATGAGAGCAGCTCACAGAGGATCTTTTCAGAGATCACTTCCACGCATCATTTTAAATCATGCTGTTTGGGTCTCAGCTGCCTGACCGGGCATTACAATCCTTTCCGAGGGAATAACCGGACTGGCTGCTGAAATTTCAGAGGTGCTTGTAACACTGCGTTCAAACAAACTACCCGTCGTCATCAATCTCGGTTTCTAGCAAAGGTAATGAAGTTCCCCAGTACTATCCTGCACCGCCTGAAGAACATATCCCAGTACAAACACTCCTGTCATGGCACAACGGCAAGTTGATTTGATGCAAAGAAGCATCAGAAAGGAAAATAAGAAATTGCTGCTAAGTTCCTGAGGAAAGCCAACTGATTAATATTACAGCTGTCAGCAAGCTGGCTCGGCAGACCTAAATGCTCTTTACAGTTTTGGGGATCTTAATGGGGAAAGAAAACCACCTATGGAAAAAGAAAATGGGAAAAATCTTCTATGCTAATTATTCCTTCTGATGTTTGTGGACACATTTCTGCAATTCTGATTAAAACTAAACTTGGGTTAGATGGGGAGGTAACACTTTAAGCTTCAACTCCTGAGAAATCAGTCATCAGTGCTGAGTGACAGCCACTTTGCTACTTAGCCATGACAGTCTAACTTATCCTAATGCAAATTGGCAACAGTTTCTTCTGTGCATGGCAGAGGACAACCAAGGAGAATTCAGATAGGGGAATTACCGTCATTAACAATCAATTTTTCTCTTAACAGCTGCAGCGGATTTAGGATTTCAGAGGCCCCCCTGTGACTCAGAGACACCCCTCCCGTGAGCAATGAGGCTGAACCTGGAGCCACCACTGCACTTAGGCAAGCTCCTGTTCACAGGAACACCCGCTGCTGTCAGTGGGCACAGATTTCGCTGAAGGGTGGGCTCACTCCTGCCAGGTGGAGGGCAGGCTACCCACTCCAGGTTTACTTAAATGCCAGTAGGAAAACCAAGTAAGTCCCTGAAGATGGATTATTAGGGAGACACATTCCCTACTTGCCCCCACCTCATGCTGCTTCACCTGGGAGCCTGTACTGGACCACGGTACATCCTCTTGTGCCAAGCTGGCCGGCTGGTGCGCACACGAGCACGTGCACAAACACGTGAGGGAAATATAATCTGGCAAACTAAAAATTAAAACCTTTTTATACTATGCTTGAAAGGTGCCTCTCAGAATAAGTGAAATGTTGTTTTCTTTAAAAGGAAAAGGAAAGATAGTAGGCTGGTATTAACATGTTCCACCAGCTACGTGTCCTTTGGATGCCAGATATAACTGTGATTTTTGAAAGGGAAGAAAAAACTGAAACCAAACTGACCGTAGCTCTGCCCAGCAAGGCACCATAATCCAAAGCCATTAATCAGTTCCCGACCAATCTTGTCCACGAGCGGCAGTCAGTCAGCTCTCCATTACCACCCATTCATCATGCCATGCCCTAACTCACTGCACCATTAGCCACCGTTCAGGCCTTAGTTAGGATGTCCAAGTGCCAGGACACTGCTGTTGCTGCTCACCTCGGCTACTGGGATGCCTTCGGGGGGACGGCACTGGAGCAGGACCTCTTGCTCCAGGGACACTTCTTTCCCCAAGGGCTCCTGCTCGAAAGTCTTCCGGAGATCTGGGGAGGGAGGAGGAGAAGAAAAAGAATTAGTAGTATTAATAGCTGGTCGTTTAAATTACATTTGATTGCCATACTGCATAAATGCGAGAGATCTTTCTAAACAGAGAAAATAGCATTTCTGCTCCCTGGAAAGTGAAGCACTTAAAAAAGACTGGGACATGTTTTCACTTCATTCCAACATTAAGCAGTCAAAGGTTTCACAGTGGATTTATTATTTATATTGTGGTAGAGCATGTGAACCCAGCGAGGATCCAAGGCCTCACTGTGGAAGGTCATGTCCAAACACAGAACAAAAAGCGAAACAAGTCCCTTCTTCAGATAATTTATGGTTGGTAAACTATGCCAGTAAAGTATTAAAGAAAGTTATGGAAAATTAAATAAATCTGTAAAACTACAGCACATAGGCTGAGTTGCCTTAAACTCATGGATGAAAGTGCTTGTGCTGTGATTTAATGTACTTTTAGTTTATAAGCATTACCTTTACAGCTTTAGCTAATTTGTCTTCACCTTATCATTATCCCTGCAGCACTAAATAGATAATATAAATAATAATAATAATAATAAAAAAAATAATAATAATAATAATAATAATAATTGTAATGTGGAGCTGAATGGTGCTTGGATCCCTGCACAGCGCCACAGAAATGTGGCAGGCAGAGAGGGCATTGAATGCGCCTCCAAACATCGGACCAGTTCATCATACTGGACAGCTGTGTACTCTGGCTTTTTTGTAAGCTTCTGTAATATCTTTGTGATGATAGTAAAATGGACTTGAGAAGTTCGCTCCTTACCACTGGCTCTGTATTTCTGCTACGGACTGGCACCCTCTCCGCTGTGCTAGGGAGGATGGGGTTTTGAAGAACAGAGCATTCAGCCCCAGTAGCGACTGGGGATATTTCTCCCTGCTTGCTGGTTCCTGCTGCAAATGGACATGGGGCCACATTCAAAGTCACATCAGAGAGCTGGCCTGACTTTAAAAAAACCCTTGCAAAAAAGTTATTTTTATTTTACTTTTTGTTCTGAAGTCAGACCAGTTCCCTATGCCAGCTCATGGCGAGGTTGCACGAATACTTGTGTCATATTGGAAACAAGTCACATGGGTACAATTTAAAAGGCAAATATTTCATATTTTGAAGCCATAAACTGTGGCTGTGCTGGAAAACAGATCCCTGAATTGAACCAGTTTACAAATAAACCATCCAAAGAGTTATTTTTCATCTAGATTACCTTCAAGATCTCATTTACAGCTGACTCCACAAGGACCTGCATCAGCACTACCAAAAGGCAAAACCTGGGGCAGGCAAATGCACAGATGGAAAAGGAGATGGGGTGTCTGCCACCAAAATCAGCTCCTCTGAAACTCACCTTCGGATAGCACAAGACCTCTGACTCTTAGCCTATATCGGGAAAATGTGGTTATTCAACTACCTGGAATTAAATGTCAATGTAATTGTACCATGGGAAAGTTCTGACATAGCTGGAGATGCTGATATTAACTTAAGATGATAACGTGGTAAACTTCTAACGTCCTTAAACCCATGCATTTCCTTAGTGAAACTGAGGCATCTCTGTTCTTCCCCTGCACCACAGGCACGAGAGGAGAAACCCCTAACCCCATTCCCTCCCCACCACTGGCATTCCTGCTCCCTCCGGCACACAGGGCAGGGATGCTGAGAGCCCCTCTGATGGGACGGGATTTATGGCCACAGTTTAGGGCACAGAAAGATAAGCTTTGGCAGATCTTACTGTGGCAATATAAGAAATTACTGCCTCCAGCTGTCTGCTTGTTTGGGGGTTACCCTCTGTCAAAAGGAAGCACATGCCAATGTCACAGCTACCTCACTACAAAATCCACCATTTTAATCCACCAGTTGTTGATGAAGGGGGCTTTAACCTACAACACCGGATAACTTACGGCAAAGAAGAGGAGCAAACATCTGGAAGTGATCATTTCTTAGGATGACATACCAAGCTTCACCAGACTGTGCCTGTCAGCATCCTTGTCACACTGTAGTTATTCCAAGCCAGCGAGGCTCGTTCATGTGACAGTGACCACAGCAAGACAACCAGCCAGATTAGGTCAGTATCCGACACCTGTACGTAGCTCCCACTGCGTTGCCAACTCCAGCATCACCAGCCCATCAGCTTCATCCCACCCTCTCTGACAGGCTAACCAGGGAACATTTGGGTTGTATGGCTCAATTTGAGTAAAACCAAAACCCTCCAGGTGCACTGTGGGTGGGAGTCACTCCAAGGACAAAATGCTGAGTTTTGGCTTGCTGTACTTCTGCATGTTAAACATAGACATGAGCAGCTCTTTCAGGAGCTGGTGAGTTTCTCAGGACACAACACCCTTCCTTTGGCCCAGGCTCCTCACACAACCTGTGGGCTTGATACGTAACCTAGGCGCACACAATGCCAGGTTAATGCAGTTTGCTTTAGATTAGTAAATAACCCAGGTTATATTGCTAGCAGTACCCATATGATCATATTATTGTTAGTTCCACAGGTATTTCCAAAGGAAAAGAATTGCCTGCACATCGGGTACACCATAGTGCACCAAACAGGTACACCTATGTGCACAGAGCAGACAATTTTAACAGATATATCATGCTCTAATATCATGGCTGAGGATAAATGAGAAAGTTACCGTGCTGGTAATAGAAGCATATAAGCACAGTAATAAATAGTACATTAATAATAGCTTTCAGGTGTTCAGATATGGAGGGATGAAGACAGTAGAGGCTGATTAGATAGATAATAATCTGAGTTTTTTCCTTGACACATTGATTTACTGTCCTGCCTACCTTCCTGAAACATTAATAGAGCTCTGAAGTTCTCCATAGCCTCACATGCACAATAATCACCTCTCTCATAAAGCACTTGCCTTTAAAAAAAACCCCAAATTTTAGTGCATACAAAAGTAAAGAGCATTAGTCTAGAAATGTGTAATAACAGTAAAAAATCATACTTTAACCTCTTTATTATCAACAGCTGGAATTGCTGAGTATGAACAGCCCCTTTTCCATGGGAACCGTTGCAGTGGGGCTGCGGCAGGTGAGACGAACCCTGCGAGGCCCCGGCTGCCCCCCACTCATGGAGCCTTGCTGTGTGCCAACGCTCTAACGGCGCCATTGGATTTGAGTGGGTCAATGATCCACAAACTAAAAATACACTAAGTAAGGGCCTTGACATAATAGACAGTAATGTTCTCAAAGGAGCCATTAGATACTATTGAGTAAATGATACTAATTTGTGGAAAAGAAAAAAAAAAGTACATAATTGTGTATTTACAAGATTGGGAGCTCTTATACCCTATTCTGTTGGCTCCCTCCCACGTGTTCCCAGCTTTATCTCACCAGAACTACTCACTACCTCCCGCCACAGCCGTGCCACCTACAAATAGCTACAGATGGCAGCTGTGCAGGGCAGGTTTTACCTAACCAAGCATAAGGTTCGCTGGTTGTAATAGACAAACAACTTAACAAGGTGGTTTTTTAAGTGATGAAGAAGCGGAGGGTCTGGACAAACAACTTCGTCACCTGCTCTAACTATCATGAAACACCCTGCTGGGACAGCACTGGGTTTAGAAATGACTGTTTTTTTTCTGTGGCCCTTGCATTATGATTTCTGTGGATAAAAACAACGCCCTTCTAATTCTTCAATCTTCAGCTTCCTTTGCCATTTAACAATTATAGTCATCATGGCAACTTCACACTGTCGACCAGGAGTGGGTGAGCTTGCTAATGTACTGAGGGACTTTGGATCTTTTCCAAGCAGAGTATTTTCAATAATGTTTTTCACTTTTTCAAAGTGTCATATAAGTTACAATTGCTTGCAAGCAAGGACAGAAGGGATACATTTTCCCAGAGAATGGTAGAAGACAAATAAAATCCCATTTTTTAAAAAAAAAGGAAATTTTTAACAACCTTCAGAAAATATGCCTGAAGAGGCAAAACAATAAAACATTTGGTCCATTCTGGGTCAGGACCTCTTTGTCTGTGAAGAGGCAGTGTGAATTATTAAAGCCTCGGGTCAGCAGCAGCCCTGTTAATGTGACGCTGAGAGAGAGCCTTCTCTACCCTCACTTTTGATAGGGAGAGACACAAGAGAAAGGCAGTTGCACTTTCCTTCCATTATTATTTTGGTAATGTAGAATAATCCCTGATTATCTGTGTTAGCAATACTCTTCCTCCCCTTATACAGGTAATATTGCTGCCGCAGCTCATCTCTTCCGGAGCGGGGCGAGCCCTGGTGGACAGCGATGCTGAAGGGTCCGTCTTGTTTTTCTCACCAGCTCTCTCACGTATTTCACCCAGCTGCAGGTGGGGATGTCACCGCCAGGCTCAGGGGACAGCCTGCACCCCCATCAGGCATTTTCCCCCCCCTCTAACTTCCCTTCAAGGCTGTCTTCATAAAAAGAAACCAAGGAGAAGAATTAAAATTCTGGTCTGCCACCTTGAGCCAGACTCTATTTTCTTTACTAATGTACAGTCTTGGTAAATTCAGAGGGGGCTCTTGTGGCATATATCGCAGCACATTTACAGCATACTTAAGATGAGACTTTCCTCCAAGACTCCTAAAATACTCCTGCACAACCCTCTCTGGTAAGGACAGATGGCTGCATTCAGAGCTGCATTGAAATGAGAGAATTTCCACAAGCATAAAACTGAAATAGTATAACGGGAAGTCAGAATCTCAGTGTACACCATATTGTTAGCTTTATTCCTGAATTGCTATGCTTTTTGGGGAGAGGGGCATTAGATCTTAATTTTGATGCACTGCTAAATGACTTTCTTTTACGTTTAACGCATTTTTAGCTTACAAACCACTCAGAAGTTGCATTTTCGCCTGCTAAAGGCAATAGTGTCTACAGGAACTCATGGCATTTCCCCGCTTCCTTTTCTACCTGTCAACTTCTAAGAAAGAGCAAAGAATGACCCTATTCTTTTTTTTAATCAAAGGTATTTTATCTTTGCTGTTCTGGGTTTTACTGT